TTGCTTCAGGTATGGCCATGTGACTGAATTCTGGCCAATCAGCTGGGAACAGAAGTCAAATGTGTAACTGTGGGGCCACCTTTTACCATTTGTCTTTTTCTTTCCTGCTGGCTAGACTGATAGATGTGAGCATGAGCCACTTCGCACTGTAGCCATCTTGCACTCTGGGTCCCCAGCCAATTATCACTGAGTATGCTGCTGGACCGGCTGGCCCTGAACCACCCATTTCTAGACTTTGACATTAGAGGAAATCAAATCCTGTTTTTAAACCAATGTTAGTCTGAATGTATGTTAAAAGCCACAGGCATTATATCTCAATGAATACACTAAGTTAATAAGGCCCAGAGTGAGACAAACAGGTCACATAACATCAACATAGCATAACAGAAATAAGCCCTTTCTCTAGTGCCTTTATTATGGCATCACTAATTCAACTTTGAATCTGGCTAAGTTACAAATTTACAGTGCCAATACACAGTCTTTTAAATTTATTTTTTTGGAGGGCTGTGGTGGTGCCCGCCCTATGGCGAAAAAAAATATTGTTTTTGAGAGTTTTTTGCTATAAGGCATGTGTGCTCGCCAGAAAGACAGAGACAGAAAGCAAAAAGTCACCCCCTAAGGGGGATGGACACACCACAATCTCTTCTCCCCTATTCTCCTCTTGGGATCTTGGGCACACACGCACACATGTACATGCACCCACGCACCCGGCGTGAGTTTAAGCCACTGGGTCTGGGACTTGAACCACAGTCGCTACATGGGAGTCCAGCGACATAGCCGTTATGCCAACTGCTGGTCCCCACATTCTTTTAATTTTTAAATTTACAAGCAATCATTATACTTAAAGATGTTTCAATTTAAAATGTTAAAAGTAAACATTTCAGCCTTTTTTGTCCAGGAGATTGTTTTTGGTAAAATCAACATTCAAAACAGTAGTAATATTAACCATGTATCAAAAATTCTTCAGATAGTATTTCATATTCTCACATATCTGAAAAACTTTTCAACATCTCTATAAAATTGTCTATAAACATAGTTGTGTACTACCTCATATATTCTTTTTTCTAAAGAATTATTATTATTATTTTTTGAGAGGTTTTTGTTAAAGGGCGTGTGTGCTCGCCAGAAAGACAGAGAGAGACAGAGAGACAGAAAGCGAGAAATCACTCCCAGGTATGGCCATGCCGCAATCTCTTCTCCTCCATTCTCCTCTTCAGATCTTGGGTATGCAAACACACACATGCCCAGCATGAGTTTAAGTCACTGCGTCCAGGACTCGAACTGTGGTCGGCTCCATGGTAATCCAGGGACATAGCCATTACGCCAACTGCTGGTCCCAAAGAATTTGTTTGTTTGACCAGAGAGTGAGAGTAAGAGAGTGAGAAAGCAAGCCGCCAGATCTGGGACTTGAACAGCAGTCAGCCATGTAGGAGTCCAGTGCCTTTAACCACCATGCCACCTGCCGACCCTCCTATTCCTTCAAAATAATAAACTGAGGAGTCAGCAGGTGGTATGGTGGTTAAAGGCACTGGAAGGTGGTTAAAGAAACTGGACTCCCACATGACCAATTGCAGTTTAAGTCCTGGATCTGACAGCTTGCTTTCCCACTTTCTCATTCTCTCTCTCTCTCTGTCTCTCTCTGGTCATATTAAAAAAAAAAAAAAAAGATAATAATAAATATTAAATAATTCTTTAAAAAACAAAAATAAACTGAACGTATGGATTATAGCTGGTCTGTTCTCTAAGCTTTATGTCTACTTAAGAATTCAAGTAAGACTGTACTTTTTTTGTAGAGTTTTTAAAAAATAATTATTTAATTTTATTTATTCATTTATCTTTATTTGACCAGAGAGAGACAGAGACAGAGAGAGAGAGAGAGAGGAAGAGGGAGAGGGAGGGAGAGAGGAGAGGGAGAAGGAGAGAGAAAAAGTGAGAAAGCAAGCAGACAGGTCTGGGACCCAAACTGTGGTTGGCCCGTGGGAGTGTCCAGTGCCTTAACCACCACACCACCAGCTGGTCCCTGAGAGGTTTTTGCTATAGGAGGCGTGAGCTTGCTGGAGAGAGAGAGAGAAAAAGAGAGACAGAAAGCAAGAAATCATCCTCCTACCCCCGGAGAGGATGGCCACACCACAATCCCTCTGTTCTCGTCTTTAGATTTTGGGCACAAGCACCTGGTGTGAGTTTTTTAAGCTGCTGGGTCTGGGACTCAAATCGCGGTCAACTACATGGGAGTTCGGTGACGTAACCATTATGCCATCTGCTGACCCCAAGTAAGACTATACTTTTATATGAGAAACAGAAACTTGGCTTACAGATCCGTACAGTGTCATATTTAAACAGTCCAGCTTTCTCTATTCTGGCCAATAAAAGAAAGTAAGTTAATCTCCCATTCTTCATCTTTTGGATGGATACACTTAAAATTACTTTTTCTGATGATCCCCTTATGAGAGTAAAAGGGCAAACATTACAATGCTTTTTAAAGGATTACAATAAAATAAAGTGAGTGTAATTTTTACCATGTTCTTTTCAAACTTGTTTTTTGGCAGGAGAAGGTAATTCACGTTTGAAAGACTAAAAAATGCCAGTATAGTTACCTTGTACATTAAATAAGGAGGTCTGAGTAGAAAAGTATAAAATAATTCTAGTCTAAAATTTAAGTTTTTACAGAAAAGTTCGAAGATAGAGAAGTGAGCACAGAACAAAGTAAAAGTATTTAATCAAACATATGGAAGCACATTTGATAAAGAATCTCACTACAGGTATTTAATTCATGTTAAGATCACAAACTACAAGTCAATATCATATCTTTTTAAAAAATTATTTCATTAAATTTCTATAAACTGGCATATCGATTCAAGAAAAAAGTGTACATATCTCCGCAAAGAGCGAACATGCTGCTTATTGTGCATTCATACCTCTGACCATTTCAGCTTCCTAGAACAAAGCTGTGAAGCTGGAAGTTACTGAAAAAGTTCTTGGTCTTCAAGAAGAGCAGCCACAATATTAATACATTTATTTTTTAAAAAGAGGCTTGAAAGTATGCTTAAGTATGCACTCAGATTTTTTAAAAAATAATTATTTAATTTTATTAACATTTTTAAGTTTGTTATAGGGCATGTGCATTCACCAGAGAGAGAGAAAAAAAAGCCACCAGGTTTGGGACTCGAACCATGATCATTCACGTGAGAGTCCCAGCACCTTGCCCTCCATACCACCTACTGGCCTTGTACTCACCCAGATTACAATAGCTTTGTTATGTATAATGTCAGGTAAATAATTTAGGAAAATTAATTTGATTTAGATTAAAAAAAAAATTACCTTGCTAGATTAACACCAAGTATCTGAAGTATGTTGCTCTTGCCGCACATCAATAATGTAGACTACTGTAGGTAGCATGGAGGTTAAGATAGCTAGATCTCACAAGGCCGACTGTGTGGTCCGAGCCCTGGCCTGGGGGCTTGGGCAATCACAGCGTGTATGTGCATGTGTGCATGTGTGCCCAAAGTCCTGGGACGAGAATGAGAAGAGACTGCAGGGTGGCTATCTCCTCTGAGGAGTGATTTCTCTCTCTTTCTCTCTGGCAAGCATGTGCCCTATTGCAATCAATCAATCAACCAAATATTGAGTACTTTTTATTGACCAAAATCCAGCTCTTATCAAAGTTTTATCAGTAATCAACAATATTTGAAAAAAATCTTAAAATACTACTTTCATTTCTCCTAAACTCTTCTCCATTAATAATTATGAAAACTGGAAAACAACGATCTGAGCATCAACCTCTCCCTACAATTAAAGCAACTTCATTGATTTACAATAAAAATTACATTTCTATGCTTTCCATGGAGTTAAAAAAAAAACCTGCAGAAAAAACATTTTATAACATGTGAAAATAAACTGAAAAAAGAGAAGCACTATGTATATTATTTGTATCTATGAATAATACCAAGAACCAATATTTGTATATCTCCATACATTGCTAATTAAAAAAAAAATCTCCAGAACAAACCTGTTTTTGAAGATAATATGTATGTATAATACTTATATATTCACATATAAGATCACACGCAGGGATCAGCTGGTGGTATGGTGGTTAAGGCAGCTGGGTTCCACATGGCTGAGTGTGTGGTTTGGGTCCTGGACCCATCCAAGCAGGACACATGTGTGTGAGACCCAAATCTGGAAAGAATGGGGAAGGGACTCTGGCATGGCCATAATCCCTGGAGGTGGGGTGGGGTATTTCTCAGGCCCCACCCACAGCAAGTGCATGTGCCCTATAGCACAACTTAAATAAAAATCAAACACATATGTTACTTAGTTACAACATGTAAGACTAAATAAATCCCTTTTAAGATGGAGTACAGAGAAAGTTTTCCTCTGAAGAAAAATGGGAGGCTATAACTAATTGAGAATGAAAATCATGTAACCATTATGTGTCCTTTTCTTTTTCTACTGCCAAGAATTAACCTCAGATTTAATGCTTGACACTAGTAACAATTGTCTTCTCTCTCTTTTATAAGAATCATTTAACTTTATTTATTTGTTTACTTATTTTAATTTGACCAGAGAGGGATAGAGTGAAAGCGAGAGTGAGAAAGAGGGAAAATGAGAAAGCAAGCCACCAGGTCCAGGAGTCAAATCACAGTCGGCCAATGTGGGAGTCCAGTGCCCTTAACCACCACGCCACCTGCTGGCCCCAACACTAGTTACAATTTTATTTCAAGTCAGTAATTATTACTTCCTACCCATAAAAGCTTCTGATTGCTCCCCCTTTCATCTCTAATGATTTTGTATGTGTTTGCTGTACCTCACAGAATACATTTTAAAATAGTATTTGTATGTTACTGTTGTAAAGTTTTTATAGTTTGAACATATTCCTTAAAATCCTTCCCTTTCTTGGTTATATTTTCCTCCATTAGATATTAGTTTTCTCTTTCAACCTTCATGGATAAACCTCTTTAAAGAGCTATCTGTACTGCATGTCACTACTTCACAATTTTGCATTTATTCCTCAGACTACTGCTATTTGCCTCTCATCTGCGCCATTCCGCTGAAAATTACAGACTTTCTTTTTATGCACACAAAGAAAATGTAACTATTGTACTTGCAAGCAATAACAAATTTAGAGATAACAGTTTCCATCTAAAGTGGAACATTTTGTAACTATTTTAGTCAAACTTTTCATAATCTGTAAATGTTGAGCTATTCTATAGGACTTCACACATTATTGGACTTTATTTCTAAGAGAGGGTTTTGCAAAAGGGTGCGTGTGCTCTCCAGAGAGACAGAGACAGAAAGACAGAAAGTGAGAAATCGCTCCCCAGGCCATGCTGTCATCAACCCCTTCTCCTTCATGCTTCTCTTGGGATTTAGGGCAAGCAAGCACACACATCCAGAGTGAGTTTTAAGTTGCTGGGTCTGAGTCTCGAACTGCAGTTGGCTACGTGGAAGTTCAGTGATGTAACCACTATGCCCTCTGCTGGTCCCCACATTGGAATTTTTTAATACAAAAATTGTTACTGGTAGATCTGTGCCAAATTTGATACAGATTTCATATTGTAAATACATGGATAATGTGTTCTGCTTTATAAATTACAGTGCTTGGGACCAGTAGCTGGCATAATGGCTATGTTGCTGGACTCCCAGATAGTCGAACGTGGTTTGAGTTCCGGACTCGGTGGCTTAAACTCACACCGGGCGTGTGTGTGTGTGTGTGTGCCCAAGATCCCGAGAGGAGAATAGAGAAAGGACTGCAGCATGGACATTCTCCCTGAGAGATGATTCCTCACTTTCTGTCCGTTCTGTCTCTGTGTTTCTGGCGAGCACATGCGCCCTGTAGCAAAACCCTCTCCCCCCCCAAAAAAAAAGGGCTGAATTGTTAACACAGGTTTAGAAAGAGTTTAACTAGACAAAAAGGAATTGGGCAGTGTCTTTGGGGCTACTTACACTTTGGGTGACCTACCATCTTAGTGCCTACTGCTCTGGCCTAGTGCCCTGTTTTGTATTCTATCCATAAGTATATGAAAAAAATTCTCTAAAAAATAACTATAGCTAGTGATAGCTTCTGGCTATCAAATAGACACTTTCTAAGAGCTTTACATTTATCAATACAACATCAATAATTACAGTGCTAAAAACTCTGAATATGAAGTACTTTAATAGACCATTTTGCATCATTATCTTAGTCACCTCACCAACTGCAGTGGGTAGGTAGCATTATCACATTGTAAAGATGCTGAAACTGAGTTGTAGGGAAGTTAAGTAACCTTTTTTTTTTTCTTTTTGAGAGGTTTTCGCTATAGGGTGCATGCGTTCGCCAGACAGACAGAGAGAGACATAGAGACAGAAAGCGAGAAATCACCCCCCAGGGGGGATGGTCACGCCACAATCCCTTCTCCTCCATTCTCCTCTCGGGATCTTGGGCACACATGCACACGTGCCCGACATGAGTCCTAAGCCACTGGGTCCAGGACGCGAACCGTGGTCGACTACGTGGAAATCCAGTGACATAGCCATTACGCTAACTGCTGGTTCCCAGGAAGTTAACTTGCTCAAGGTCCCAAGAGTAGGAAGTACTGGAGATAAGCCTGGAGCCATACTGTTACTTTTGGGAATATGTGTTTGAATTTGAAATCTAAACTACCAAGAATACGTGTCCCTGTGCATATATAGGAATTCCCTCTTGATATAATGGAAATTTAATTACAAACGATGATGATTTTCATCATCTCAAACACCTGGAATGGTACTTGTAAAACAAAAGTTTCCCTTAATACCCTCCTTCTTTTCTTCCTCATACTTTCAAACTAGCACTAGGAAGATATTACTTGGGACAAAAACCCAGGGGTATGGAGGATGAGATTAAAAAACAAACGAACAAATAAACAAAACAAAGCAGTGGTAAAGGCAAGGAAGGGGAAGAAAAAAGAGAAAACAGCTTTTTTATTTCTCTTACTTCATTAAAAGTCAGTCCAATACCTACAGGAGTCCATAACTTCAATGGAAAAAAGAGGAGGAGCTCCTCAGGCTGCCTGTGGTTGGCTTTTAAAATGTTGGCTACATGCATAAAATGGGCTAGGTAAACACCGAATTGCCTGTACATAATTTTAAAACCAACTGACTGACCCATTAGTGATTTAGATTTATTATTTTAAGCACTATATGTGACAGTTACCAGTAAGAGAGATCTATAAGCATGATTCCCTTCCTTCTTGTCTATATCCTCACCTCAGTACTTGGTAAGTTACCAAGGGATTATCTTTGTAAAGAGAGTTATCCTAAACCTCTAAAAACTCACCAAGTTGTTGGTGCTTCGTCATCTCCCATTTCACCTTCTTCTACATCCATTCCTTCTTCTCTATCCTCAGTGTGCTAAATTAGAAAAGAATGTACAGATTTTCATGAATCAGCTGTCAGGTAAATGCTAGAACAGAAAGTCATCACACACAGCTAAACAACCATTATCTGAGACATTTAGTCACAGTAACTATCTATACCTATGGGTAATCATGATAGTGGGACTTCTATGTGATCATGGATCCAAGAATTTAAGAGTAGTATGAAAATGATATAACAGTCATGAAGATATACAAAGTTTTGTTTTGAGACAAATTTTTGCAATAGGGCATGTGTGCTGACCCATAAGACAGAAACAGAAACCAAGTAATCACCCCGCAGGGAGGATGGCTATGCCACAATCCCTTCTCCATCATTCTCCTCTTGGGATTTTGGGCACGCATGCACATGCACCCAGTGTGAGGTTCAAGTCGCTGGGTTCAGGACTTGAATCACAGTCAATCACGTGGAGTCAGTGACGTAACCATTATGCTAGCTGCTGGTCCCAAGACAGAAAGTTTTAAACCAATGTATCTCTAAACATCGCCAGTACATTTTCTGAGAATAAAGGGTATACGACTAAATGTTTTGGAAATACATATAACGACAAAGACAATTCAACAGTAAAATGTACAAACAGCATGAATAGGCAATTCTCAGGAGAAAAATAACTTTCGATCACTATATAAGTTATTGAACTCTAATAATAACCAAGGAAATGTAAGTTAGAAGAAGACTTATTTTTCAAATCTTCTTTGTTTAATTGCCCAATTTATCAATTAAGCAAAGATTTTTTAAAAACTTGTAATTTCCAGTCTTTGTGTGAGGCTATTGAAAAATAAGCAGGCATCCTCCATGGATCACTGGTGGCAGTGTAAACAGGAACAAACTTAAGAAAATTTTTTTTTCTATATTCATGATAAAGGACATAAACACAAATGTCAGAGAAGGTGGTAGAAAGAGAAGGATGAGTACACTCCATGGGGTCTGCTTACGTCATGATCCCCTTTCTCCAGTACTCTAGCCCTTTGATCCTGGGGAATCACATGCATGCCTGGTGTATTTCAGGCTGACTAGGCCAGGGATCTGAAATGCAATTGACACGTGGGATCTGGCTTCTTTTGAGCAGCTCATTATTCTGCACAATGGACCCAGACCAGATACAATATTTTTTTTTTGGAGAAGTTTTTTTTTGCTATAGGGCGTGTGTGCTCACCAGGACAGAGAGAGACAGAGAGACAGAAAACGAGAAGTCACCCCCCATGGGGAATGGTCACACCGCAATTCCTTCTCCTCCATTCTCCTCTTAGGATCTTGGACACACACGCACATGCGCCCGGCATGAGTTTAAGCCACGGGGTCTGGGACTCGAACCGCAGTCGACTACATGTGAGTCCAGTGACACAGCCATTACGCCAACTGCTGGACCCCAGATACAACCTTTTTAAGAATCAACTGGACAAAAGCTATCAAAGTTTGAAATATTCACACATTTTGACCCAGCGATTTTACTTAACAGAATTTATAATAGACCAGCCCTGTGGCCTGGTGGTTAGGGAAACTAGGTCCCACATTGATAACTGCATGGTTTGAATACTGGCCCTGACAGCATGAAAAATTACAATAAGCCTAAGTGTGTGAATGTCCCAAATCCCAACAAGATGGAAAAATGTAGAGCAGATTGTGGCGTGTCTGTGTCCCATTAAGAGGATGCTCTCTGCCATTCCCTGTCTCCCCTTTCCTGTCTCCTCTGGCAAGCACACATGCCTCTTTAACAATTAAAAAAAAATTATACTAATGAAATACCTGCATAATTTAGCAATGATATATATAACATACTATAACTTTGTTAATAATTTTTCACTACTGGAGATTATCTACAGATAAATGACAACTGACAAGAGACTGTGATATCCTTCCAAAGACTTCTCATGAGTCGTCATAACTGAGACAGATCACAATGTACTGATGTAGAAATACAGCAGTTAAAGGAAAAAAGTGAATTTCAAAAGTATGTATTGTAAGCCCTCATTTTGGGAAAAAATAACATACATTCAAACATATATAGAAAAACTCCTGGGGCCAGCAGATGGCGTAATGGTTATGTTGCTAGACTCCCATGTTGTCCACTGCAGTTTGAGTCCTGGACTCAGTGGCTTAAAAATCACACCAGGTGTGTATGCCTGTGTGCTCAAGATCCTGAGAGAATAGAAGAGAAGGGATTATAGCATGGCCATCACCCCCTGGGTAGGTAGGTGGGTGGGGTGATTTCTTGCTTTCCATTTCTCTGGCAAGCGCACTCACCCTATAACAAAAACCTCTCTAAAAACAAAAACTCCTATGAGGTTAGACAGAGGATGTTGTGAGTGGTTATGGAAATATTAGGTCATTAGGATAGTCATGACTTATTTTTCTATGTTTTTCTATGCAAAAATGTGTCATGATTTTCCAGACAACCCAGTAATATGTATTTATATAAGTAACAGATACTTTGGTAAAAATATCAAACATTGTTTAAAACAGAAAGCACTGCTACTGCATAATCTACCTTATGATTACTATCATTAAAAAGTTATATAGAAAGTATAGCTACTTAGATTATGGTATAGTAGCTTTCTATTTCAAAGATTATCTGAATTATTCTTATACAGAATACATATTACTTCTATAAATCAGAAAAACAGGTTTTCAAAATTTTGGTAACTTAGAGGATCATTCATATGGGTTACCCCAATAACAAACTTATAAATATGTTCTGTGAGATTTCATACTGGCCTTACCTTCTGGCCCAGGGTGCTTTCCTGCTCATTGGTATTGAAAACAGTGACATTTTCCAGGTTAAATTGACTCTGCAAGTTAAGACCTATGGGGGCGGGGGGCCAAAAAAAAAGCAAAGATTTTCAAAGCATATCAAGTTACTGATGCCTAAACTTGTGTAAGGAAGTAAATTCATGCTTTTTAACCAAAATGCATAAAATGCTAAATCCAAAATAAAGCAAAGATCATGTCAGAAATAACACATTTTATGTTCAAATCCTTTTAAAAATTCATTTCCTTTCTGAAAACTGCTATAGGATGTGTATATATGTGTGCACAAGGAAGTGAGAATAAGAGTAAGTAACCCCCCAATTGGACCTGATCACACTGCAATCCTTTTCCCTCTGATTCTCCATTCTCTCAGTACCCTGGGTATGAAAGCATATGTCTGGTGTGAACATATGAGGCTGGAACTCAAACTCCAATGAGCCATCTGGGATCTAGCTTCTACATAGCACTTGTTACACTACCGGGCTGACCGTGAAATTCATGCTTTTTAAAATGTTATTATTTTTTAATTTGCTATAGAAAGTGATAAAGCAAGTGGATCCTAGACTCAAATCTTAGTTGGTCATGTGGGAGTCCTGCCCTAACCAGTGCACCATCTGGTGGCTCTTAAAACTGACATCTTAACAGGACCAGCAGTTAGTGTAATGGCTTTGTCATTGGACTCCCATGTAGTTGACCGGAGTTCAAGTCCAGGACCAGGCGGCTTAAACTCACACCAGGCACGTGTGCGTGCGTGCCAAAGATACCGAGAGGAGAATGGAGAAGAAGGGATTGTGGTGTGGCCATTCCCCCTGGGGGGTGATTTCTCACTTTCTGTCTCTCTTTCTGGAGAGCGCACGCGCCCTATAGCAAAAAAACCAACTGAACAAAAAAACCCCCACTCCCCCCAAAACAAACAAACAAACAAACAAAAAACTGACATCTCAAAGGTGCCTTTAGAATATTCTCCAGCAGATGGAGTAATGGTTACGTCACTGGATGCACACTTAGTTGACTAAGGTTAGAGGCCCTGAACCCGGTGGCTTAAAACTCGGGCTGGGTGCATGTATATGCATGCCCAAGATCCCAAGAGAAGACTGGAGAAGAAGGAGTTGTAGCATGGCCATCCCCCAGGGGGTGATTTCTCACTTTCTGTCTGTCTCTCTCTGTCTCTCTGGTGAGCACAAGTGCCCTATAGCAAAAACCTCTTAAAAAAAAAAGAATAAACAGAATTTCAGGTATATTATGCTAAAAAGTTGATCCTTCTTATTTGTGACTATTTAAGAAGAATTTCAGAAAATGCAGTATGGAGTAATTTATAATTTTTCTGAAGCAGAAGTTTAAATTATGTTTTTTTTCTATTTTATTTTTTACTGCTAGACACACACATGCTTGCAGGAGGGGGCGGGTCACCAACCCAATGAGGAGGGGTCACACCATAATTCTTCCTCCATTTCTCTACCCTATCAGAATTTGGAGGCACAGACGTCCAACATGTGTTTCTAGCTGTTGGGGCTGGGATTTGAACTGCAGCCAGTCATGAGAGAACCAACTGCCAATGCAGAATGCTTAACAGCTATGCTATGGGGTCAGCCATGTAAATTACATTGATCAAAAGCAAGGGTAGGGGGCCGGCAGGTGGCATAGTGAATAAAGTGCTGGACTCCCACATGGACAACCATGGTTCAAGTTCTGGAAACGGCAGCTTGAAACTCATGCCAGGCTCAAGTGTATGCATGCCCAAAATCCTGAGAGTAGAAGGGACTGTGGCATGGCCATCCCTTCTGGTGGGATGGGAGAACTGATTTCTTGATTTCTGTGTCTTTGACTTCCCAGAAAGTGCACATATAGCAAAAAAAAATCTCTCTAAAGAACAGGAAGTGAGGGTATGGGCTGGTTCCATGGAGCAGTGGTATTTAGCTGTTCAAGAGAAGCCAGATCTCTCATGATGACCACAGTTTGAATCCCTGGCCATGAGCCTAATATATGTCAGATATGTGTGCAAGGGTCCAACAAGCTGAAGGACTGGAGGACTGCAAATATTCCTTTCTCTCTCTCTCTCCTGCCCACCATTTGCATGTGCTCCATCATGAATAAAGGGGGAAAAAGTTAAATACTTTTAAAAAGTGAGTCTGAATAGCAAATAAGTAAATAAAGTTAATGAGAGCCAAGTCTTTTACTGTCAAAGAAAGAAGTTATACATAAATATGTAGGGGCTAGATGGTGGAGCAGTGGTAACACAACACTCTGTGAGGCTGAGCCACATGGGAAGGTTCCAGGCTGGTATCTGGAGACCTTCTTGAACATGCCAGTATACACATCCATGATCTAGGGCTGAAGCTGGGGGTGGATCATGGCTTGAAGATCCAGTTGAAGGTGGCTGTCTCTCTCATGCTGTCTTTCTTACTCATGGAGGAAAGAAAGAAAATTAAAAACAAAACAAAACAAAAAAAACCCAACAACTTTAAGGGCTTGCCCCACAGCCTAGTGGTTATGGGAGTTAGCTCTAATATAGCCAATGTTAGTCCATTAAAAACTAAAAAATATTTTCCTGCAAAGAACTTACTTAATGTATAAAAGCGTACCTGATTTCTCAGATAGAGGGAAAAGTCTAGCCAAAAAGAGCTGAATTCGTCCACAGAAAACTGTATTCTGGGATTTTGATAATCTTCTTAGGAGATCTAAAGATATAGAAATAAAAATTACATACAGAAATGATCATTCTATGTTTAATACAACCATAGTTAAGTTTCTTAATCAGTTTGTCAAGAGTATTTTCCTAAAGCAGTTTTCAAAACAGGGTGAGAAACCACAGTCACAAAAAAGTGCTGTAAATTAGGAACAAAACAATTCAACAGGGACAAGAAAAAATTTACTAATTTCTGGGGCCAGCAGGTGGCATAGTGGTTAAGGCACTGTACTTCCACATGGCTGATGAAGGTTCAAGGTTCCTGGACCCAGTGGTGTTCACCCTGGGCACATGTGGACATGCTCAAAATCCTTAGAGAAGGGATTATGGTGTGGCCATCCCCCCTAAGGGGTGATTTCTTGCTTTCTCTCTCTCTGTCTCTCCGACGAGCACAAGTGCCCTATAACAAAAAAGTCTTAAGAAAAGAAATCGATTTACTAATCCCTTATAATTTTCATTACGTCTACATCCAGAACAGGAACAGTTTAAAGTGAATAATCAGTTTTAATAAAACAAACTGCTATTTAAAAATGGAGATACTAATATATCTTCAAAATGTAGGGGCCAGCAGTTAGCGTAGTGGCTATGTCGCTGAACTCTCATGTAGTCGACCATGGTTTGAGTCCCGGACCCGGTGGCTTAAACTCACACTGGGTGCATGTGCGTATGTGCCCAAGATCCCAAGGGGAGAATGGAGGAGAAGGGGTTGTGGCATGGCCATCTTCCCTGTGGGGTGATTTCTTGATTTCTATTTCACTGTCTCTCTCTGTCTTTCTGGTGAGGGCGCGCACCCTATAGCAAAAACCTCTAAAAAGAAAAAATTAGCATTTAATTCACCCACTTGCTTTTCTGGCTTATTTTCACTTTAAAAGCAATTATTTATCAGTCATTGAATAACTTACCATTGCACATACGTAGTAAATAATTTTTCCCAGCGGAATAGAACGTATTCTGAAATTAAGACAAAGATTATTAATATTTGTCAGAAGCCGTTGCACACCCTTCACAAAGTCACAAGAAGTAAAATATTAAAGAGCATTAACATGCACTAAGAATCCACTATGCCACTTTCACTTTTTAATAAACATTTTCTGCAAAATGAAAATATTTTAAGATACGTAAACTTGATACTAAGCAACTCTTAAGTGGGTGTATTTATTTTCAAGCTAATTTTTATTACTCAGTCACATTTTGCACTTCAAGTTTTTCTACACACACGGTTCTTATTTGGCTCTGTCAAGAGAGCACAGTATATAAGTCTTTCATAGGGATAACCTTTTTGCCAATTAGCAACCTTAGAAATATAAGCAAAAAAACCCCCAAAACCCCACACACAAAACAAACAAAACACTACCCATATAATTCAGGATCTACAGAAAGATAATGTTAGCAGAAAAATAAACTAAGGCACTTACTGATTTCCAAGTAGCAACATTTTTTTCCACAAAAGTGAATATTGTGTCACATTGATCCAAAGGAAGACAATCCAAAACATCTCCCAACAATACAAAAGGTGTAGATGCAGTACAAATACCTTCAAGTGGAGCACAAGCCCATTTTAAAAGTTTAAAAACTGTACAGCAAAACAGCCTAAGAAAAATAATTCTGAAGAATACCTCAAAAGTTACACTTTAACATCTCTCAACAATACAAAAAGTGTAGATGCAGTACAAATACCTTCAAGTGGAGTGTGAGCCCATTTTAAAAGTTTAAAAACTATAGAGCAAAACAGCCTAAGAAAAATAATTTTGAAGAATACCTTAAAAGTTACACTTTCTTGCTCATAACAAGGCTTTTTAAGAAAAAAATATAGAAGCAATCCAAAGTCCCAAAATGGGACACACGTCAGTAATTTTTGATATGTATATTCAATAAGACGATATAATGATTCTTGATAACATCTAGGTGTTTCACATATACTAAGATTTAATCCTTATAACCCTACAAGATAGAATGTAACCTTATCTTGACTTTTTAGGATGGGAAAACTGAGACATGGAGAGGTAAAATAACTTGCCCAAGATCACAGAGCCAGTAAGTTGTAGAGCTGGGATACGAACCCAGGCAGTCTGGCTCCACAGTCTGTTTTCTTCACCACTAAGCTATTCAAAAAAATATAATGCAGCCAATTAAAAACGTTGATTATGATGATAATAACTTGGAAAAATGCTTATGGCATAATGTTAAGTGAAAAAGGCAGGATTTAAAACTATATCTTATGGTTACAATGGTAAATTTTTAAAGACTAGAGCCACTTAAAAAAAAGAGCAACCCAAACCATATATCAAAATGAATGGCAGTTTTTAAAAGTAGAGGAATTATGACTAGTATTTTCCCCTTTTCTCATTTCCAAAATATTTTCTAATGTTGCTAAATGGTCTTTGTGATTTGGGAAGATTATCTTCAAAAAAGATAACAAAAATGTTGATACTGACTTCATCTATGATTTAATATTTAAAAATAGTATTGGGGACCAACAGTTGGTATAATGGCTATGTCTCTGGACTCCCATGTAGTTAAGCATAGTTCAAGTCCTGGACCTGGTGGCTTAAACTAACACCAGGCACATGTGCGTGCATGCCCAAGATCCCAAGAGGAGAATGGAGGAGAAGGGATTACAGTGTGGCCACCCCCCCTGGGGGGGGGTTATTTCTTGCTTACTGTCTCTCTGGTGAGTACACATGTCCTATAGCAAAAACCTCTCAAAAAAAAACAAACAAACAAAAAAAAACAACAAAGAAAAACAAAAAACCACAGTACTGTTTCAGGGGAAAGAATAGTAAAGTGGAAAGTTAACTGTTTAGCTCTGAAGTCAACAACAATAAATGAAAGATTTTTTTAAAGAAAAGGTCATGTAGACTAGCTTAAAAATACTTTCATATCTCTACTCATTTTTCCTTCTATTTTAAGGTACCAGGAACTTACTAACATTTGTTACATGTTTAAGATAAGTAGCCACTTGGGCATGGTGTGTAGGGGAGCAAAATCTAGCTGCACTGTAAGCTCAAAACCTTGTATCAAAATAGTAGTTCAGAAAAAGTAAGTAATATTTCCAGCTCTACTCTGCACTGGTAAGATCACATCTGGAATGTGATGTGAGATACTGCTTAGAATCAGTGAGTGGCACACGGCAGATTTCAACTCAATACAAGGTAATGTCTGACAAGATTCAAACAGTGAGTTCCGTCAATACAGCAGTCTGGGTGACATATGTCAAGGATGTTATGCAGAGAAGGCAGCTAGACTAGAAATGAGATTGGACTAGATGACCTCTAAAGCCTCTAGCAGCATTTAAGATTCTGTGATACTAGAGGTCCTGTACATTCAAGAGATTTAAGAGGCTTATTATTCTCTGTCCTTAGTTGCAGTATAGTCTGGTATAAATTAACTCACATTTAGTAAAATAGATATCCAACTTCAGAAAAGTATCTATATTATGTTATCATAGGTTCTGAGTCAGTGGAACTAAGTGAGAGCCTGGGAATTTCATTTGAAAAGAGATGGATTGGTGATTCTGATGAGCTCGCAGGTGCGGGAACGACTAGATTATGGCGTAGACCCCTAGCCCTGAACAATTTGTGTCCTATTTTCTGTACCTATCTTGCTGATTTCCTTAACCTTGGCCACAGTTACCCCGTCCCCATTCCTAAATACTGTGCTATATTCATACTTCCACAATCTTATGCTTTTCCTGCCTAGTCTTCCTCCTCTTTATCATATGGAAAATTGACTCCATCTTCCAAAACATAAACATCAGCTCATCTAAAATCTCTTCAAATCTTTGAGCAATCCACCTCATCTATGCTTCTGAAGCACACTGTACATAAATCTATCATAGCATTTAGCATATTCTAATTACCTCTGTAATATCGACTATATTTTTTAATGGTAGGCATTTTTGTATTTTTTTAACCAGTACAATGTTTGACAATGAATAGAAGCTCAATAAATAATTAATACTGCTGAGTTGTAGTATTACGGACTATTTGAATATACATCTCATATATAAACAATAATCTCTCTTGAGAAGACACCTTCCCCCTCAAACTAAAATAAAAACATATTTAAGCCTTCATGTACAGTTTAAGTTTATAAGTTCTCATCTGTCTCAATTAAAGTAAAAGTTTTAAATATAGACTTCATATAATTTCATGTGTCAAAAATATCACCTGCCTTTCGATGATAATATATCAAGTTAGTTAATGAACTAAGCATGTACTGCAAACTGTCTGGCAAAAATGAGATGAAGAACAATGCATTGTGGAATTTATTTAAGTATGCTTAATGAGTGATGAATGAATAAGCAGCTCAAATTTTAACATGTAAATTCAGAAGTTATGAGCTTAAAGTTCACAAAATAGCTTGCTGCTACTCTGGGAGACTTTTTTCTTCAGTTTTTATAGGAGTATCAAAATAATACATTATAGGAATAAAACTTCACACATTAAAAAGGCAGTTTTCACATATATAATAGGATGAATTTCCTTAATCCAAAAACCCAAAATGCTCCAAAATCTGAACCTTTTCCAGTGCTACCATGATGCCATAGGTGGAAATTCCACCCCTGACTTTATATGACGGTTGCAGTCAAAATGCTCCAGTAGGAAATACTGTGGCCCAGCCATAGGAGCAGTGCTGCTAAAACACTGTGCTCCATAGGCTGGGCCATCAGAAGCCTGGGTTTAATTTCCAGTTCAACCTAAAGTGACTTCACCTGTAATCCTAGCAACTTAGGGTGGTTGAGGCAGTAGAATTGCAAGTTCAAGGCTGGCCTAGGCAACACAGTGAGACCCTGTCAGAAAAAGAACTGGTCATGGTAGTATATGTCTGTAATTGCAGTTGAGAGGCTGAGGCAGAAGGACTGAAACAAAGTAAGACTCTTTCTTAAGAAATAAACAGTATAAAACTACCTTCAGGCTAGATGTATAAGGTATATATGAAACATAAATTAATTTCTTGTGTACACTTGGGCCCCATCCCCAAACATCTTATTATGTATGTGCAAATATTCCAAAATCCAGACAAATATCTGGAATCTTAAACACATCTGGTCTTAAGCATTTAAATAAGGGATATACACCCTGTATAGGAATTAACTGAATATTTTAACCAAATTGGTTAAAAAGAATGCCAATGAACTATTTTTTATCTCTCCTTTCTGTACATATTTCATTGAGCTCTGTGTTGGCACTATGTACTTATTGTGTGGATTATTTACTTAAGTCTCTCAAAACTATCCCTATAGCACTGCCCCCTTTTAGCAATCCCTGCCTAGTTTTCCTGTCAGCAGTATCTCCCAATATAGTCTTCTGTAGCTGCTCTTTAGCAGGGCATACAAAGCCCTTTACAAATGACTCTAACCTACCCCTACTCTTGCCTCACTGCTCTCATTATTGTTTCACCTGCTCCACGGTTCTCCAGCCATGCTGAACTTTACCTTTCCCCAGCTATTCCCTTCTCTCTTTCTGACAAACTTACCATCCTTCACATCCCAGCTCTCATAGCTCCTTCTAAAACCTTTCCCGATTCCTTTGGACTCAGAAGTTTGTAGACACTTTTACATAATTCCCTTCAGCCATACTTCATTTTTATTTCAACCCTAGCATTTACACCACAGTAAGACCTTCACACATCTGTTTCCTCCTTTAGCCACTGGCTCCTTACAGGTGGGGAATGTGTTTTATTCACCACTGAATCCCCTAAGTCCTAGCTCAGTAACAGGCACACTGTAGATGCTCAATAAATATTTACTAACTGAACAAAACAACTGGAGAACAAGGAAAACTGCCAAAATGTGCACCACATAATAAAGATGAGAAATAAGCATAAACTAATTTGATCTGGACAACTTCTTGGCAAAGGTGGAAGAACTTGTGAAATGAATAAAATCAGATAGGTGGAGAATTATATGGAGTAGTTTTAAATAAAGCATACCATAGCCAAGATTTTTTTTTTTTAAAAAAGCAAAACCATACTTACCTTCAGTTACTCCCCCAATAGCAAGAGAAATAATAGCTAAAACATTTTCACATGTTGAATGATTTATCTACCAACAGAAGAGAAAATAATTTAATTTAGGGGTGAGAATTCAGACCAACTTGATAATAATGAAAACATGTTCTCTGACATCAAATTATCATAAATACAAAATTAAAAATGTTCTTATAAAAGATAAAATTATTTTAAGATGGAAATAAAAAAAACAGCAATGCAGAGAATTGGTAATTGTAGAAGTATGTCTAATAAGGTGACATATTCAAAATTCAATGTCTCAGGAAAGTGGTTACATTAGCATGATAAAGGCTATGCATAATTACATCACTGGCACAGGGGAAAGGCAGGGCCAGAGGAATTAATGTACTAATGCATTAATGTGTTCGAGGAAGGGTTTTAATAGATGGTAGGTAGTGCTTAGGTTCTACAAAATCCTAATAACCAGCACTTACTGAGTGTTCGTTAAGTGTGGTTTATCCAACAACATCGAATGAATGGTTTTATTTCCCCCCTTATAAATGACATTGACACTCAGAAAACCAAAGTAACTCACCCAATGCCTCACAATGGGAAAGTGACTAAGCCTGAACAAAAGGAAGAATCGGTTTGATCCAGAATTTTCTGACAAAGGGACACTGTATTATGGCCATTAGAAGAAAATCTAGCTTTTTAGGATCCAACCTTTGCTCGACCAAGAATAGACTGTTGAAATGTTCCTTTTATTTGGGAACCCTAGTAATGGTAAATAAATTCAGATTTTTGTTGGTTAGATTTCACTTCTTTACTCAGAAAATGCATTATTTACATATGCCTAACCATGAGGGAAATGCCACTGGACAATGAGGCCATAGAATTTCAACTCCTACATTGAACACTCAAGGACCGGACCTTTCATGCCACTACAAGGTCTGTCACTGTTTACATAGCAAGGTCGGACAGCAAATCTTCAACCCCTAGTGCTTGTTCACTAAGACCTCACATTGACTTTTTTTAAATTTCACTTGGAGGGGGCTTGCTTCATTTATTAAACCAAACTCTTAAATAACTACTGTGCTACCAATGACCTAAACTATGACATAACTTCTATGCCAACTAACATTGAGTGAGCTTTCACAAGGCAGCAAGCTCACTCTAGGGAAAAAAAATCACGTTTTCATATACATTCTAAGGATATAAGCAATTAAAAACAATATGGCTTATTAATGGGCCAGCAAAATTTTAACAACGAATAAAGGAACAACATACTTACAATTTCTTCTTCTAGAACACCTCTGAAAGCTTGGTCCAGGGTACATTTTTTTTCATTTTCACTATGAAAAACAAGATACCTATTCTATAAACAGCTCAGGATAAGTATAAAATTTCAGGCAAGTATTTTTCATAGACATCAATAACTTACCTGCCAGGTAACTGGCTAAAGGTACACAACAATGGCTTAATATTTTTGTTGTTCAAGGCCTCTCTGGTAGATTTCTAGAAAAATAAAAATTGGAAATATTTTCCTTATTTTTTACTGAAAAACATCATTTGTGAACAGTATCTTTCTTTGTGTGTATGTATTTGTTTTTTTTTTTTTTTGAGATTTTTTCCTATAGAGCATGTGTGTTTGCCAAAGAGACAGAGAGAGAAAAGAGAGAGAAAGTGAGAAATCACTCCTGGGTAGATTTCTAGAAAAATAAAAATTGGAAATATTTTCCTTATTTTTTACTGAAAAACATCATTTGTGAACAGTATCTTTCTTTGTGTGTATGTATTTTTTTTTTTTTTTTTTGAGATTTTTTCCTATAGAGCATGTGTGTTTGCCAAAGAGACAGAGAGAGAAAAGAGAGAGAAAGTGAGAAATCACTCCTGCCCCTAGCAGAGATGGCAACGTTGCAATCCCTTCTCCTCCATTCTCCTCTTGGTATTTTGGGCACGCATGCACAGGCACTGACATGAGTTTTAAGCCACTGGGTTCAGTACTCAAACTGTGGTTAACTACATGGGAGTCCTGCAACGTAACCATTATGCCATCTACTGGTCCAGTGAACAGTATGTCTAACTAAAAAATGGTTATTCCTAGAAAAAAATCGCCAAACATTCCCTCAGTTAGCTTTATTACAAATTCTACTTAATGACAGATCCTTGTCACTTTAAATCTGGTAAGAGTTTCCTAACTAGACCTTTCCATTCTAGTTTTTTTCCCTCCTTCTGTGTCTTTAAATACCACATTTATGAGAGCATTCTGTTTAAAAAAAAAAAAAAATCTCCGATGGGTTCATTATTTACATATTTTGGTTTTTGAACTTTTATAGCTCCTTCAAGGTCCTTGATAACGTTATCTCAACCAATCTATTCAATCTTATTCCCACTACTCCCCAACACATAACCTAAACCACAGTCTAGTCATTTTTTCATTTCTTACCAAGCTCATTCCAATGTATTCACATATTCATCTTGTTCTACTTGCTCATCCAAATGCTACCCTTTCTTCCACATTCATTTCAGGTCCTGCCTCCTGGAGGTACCTCACTCAGCACAGTCCTTTACACACAGCAAACACTGAAGAAACAGCTGCCAACTGTCTTAAACTAGGCATTATTTAAAGACAAAAATATTGCAAATCATTCATTCTGTGAAAATTCACGTATGAATGAAAAGTCATCTTACTATCTCAGAGTAGTTAGAGCTATACTGGAAATGTCCATTCCTGGCTCTTTCACTAATCAGCTAAGTAATTTTGGGCAAATCTCTTTATCTTGTGTGCCTCTTTCTTACCTACTAAATAAGAGGACTGCTGTAGATTCTTGTACTAGCAGTAATAGTGGCATCGCCTGGGAACTTGTTAGAACTGCAAAATCTCAGAGCCCATTCCAGAGTTACTGAACCAGAATCGTCATTTAACAAGATCTCTAGGTGACCCCCATTGCATACTGAAGATTGAGAAGTACTGGGCTATATGATCTCCAATTAAATGGTCCCTTTCAGGGCAAATATGATCTTGGATAGTCCTAACAGTACTTTTTTGGGGGAGCCATAGCGAACGTGTGTACCCTGGAGAGGAGAGAGATGGCGAGACAGGGAGAGGGAAAGTGAGAAATCACTCCTCCCACCCCACATACACACCCGGGGGGTTACTCTACAATCTCTTCTCCATTGCCTCCTGGGACCTTGGTCACACACGCATGCACGCACACGCGCGCGTACACACACACACACACACACACACACACACACACACACGAGCGTTTGGGGTTATCTTCAAGCTGCCAAGTTCAGGACTTGAACCATACCAGAGTCCACTGTCATAAGCACTACACCACCTGCTGGTCCCAACCTAACAATTACTCTTAGCAGAATTTCAAAGCACAGGAGTTTCCGCAAAATGCATATGAAGAAAATGATTCTGAAAACATAAACGAGATGTAAAGGCACTTAACTTTGGGGGTGGAGAGTCTCAGTTTCTATCTGATGTACCAGTGATAATAAAACAGCCTATCTCTTGTGTTATTCAGATAGTTAAGCGCTGTGAAGTGTTTCTCAAATGCTCAAACTACCCTTTCTCATTGGGCAGAAATAAAACATCTAGTATCCCTCCCTCAAGGTGATCTGTTTGCTTTTTCCCGCTTAAGATCTCCCAGATCGAACTCAGGGAGTGAGGACACCGAAGATTAAAGACTGATTAATAGGCGGCCGGAACCACTACCTGGCAGCTCCGGAGGCGGGGCGAGAGCCGAGTCTCCCGGCTGAAATCTCTCCCGCCTTGCCCCTCCAAGTTCCGGAGTCACCTGCTCTGCTAGCAGAGGAGGTGGACCGGATCAGAGGTAATCTGCAGGTGAGCTCTCCAAGCCGAGCACAAAGACGCCAAGAAGGGGGCGGGGGGCTACGGGGCCCGCCAGCGAGTGAGTGAGGCGAGCAAAGGACGCACGGAAGAGGCAGGTAGTGCGCCTTTCACTATCTCCCGGCCCCAGCGGATGCCGCGGTGCACACACCTGTCTCGCTTTACCCAGGGTCAAATTCGAGTAACTTAAGGAAGAGGAGGGCAAAGAATAGCGCCGGGTACGGCCCGCACTCCCGCGCTTTAAGCTCACCGTAAACCGCGTTCGCGCTTCGGGCAAACTGAAGAGTGGCGGCGTCGGAGACATCTTCTCGGCTGCGCGTGCCCGCCACCGCTCTGCGGCGCCCGCTGATGACGTCAAGCCGAGAGCAACGAGATTGCCAGCTAGAGCGGCCTGTGAGCGAATCCGTAGGCAAGCTGGCGGTTTGGAGCTCCGGTGGTGACAGAGCTGGGGTGGGCGTTGGAAGACTGAGTCAGCCAAGCGATGGCTAGTTCAGATTCTTGGTTAACCCTTGCGGTGAGGGCATATGGGCGGCCCTGTCCCGTAAACTCTGCGCTCTGGGGCGGGGAGAAGGCCGGACCCGCGCCTGCGTGGTGGTTTTCCCGGTTTGGGGAAGGCGGGCGAATGTTGCTGCTCGGACGCCCCCGGTAGGAAAGTAATCACTGCCCGGGAATATGAGGCAGATGAGTTATCTGGGAGAAGCTCCAAGCTGGGGAAGCGTTGGCTGTGACTGTGAACCGTGGACCGCCGGATCGCGATCTTCCCTGAAGCTTGAGATCCAGAGTGCTGACAGATTCCAGTTTTTTCAGTCTTGTGGCTTTTGGGCCTTGTAGCTCAAGAGCGTTTCCTCCTTTGGGAAAATAAATAGTAATTACCTCACAGGTAAAGCATGAATGAAGTACTGTCCGGAAGTGTAGATTATAAATAGTATTTATTAATAGGTTTAATTTGCTGGCCCTTAGTTTTCTACCTAAAGAGAATGCCCGAGGAGGAATACGATACTGGGTGCTGATTGGAAAGGCTTGGCGCTGCGTCCAGAGTACAGGCATCGCTTGCAAAACCTGTGTCTCCTCAGCAGTTTGCTCCGTGCCTCTCCCTTGCGTTGGCGAATGAGAAGCCGAGTGGCTGTTAAGTCGGTTGGCGCTATATTGAGAAAGAAGCACTGACCCAAACTAAGCCTATTGCCTGAACGGAGAAAGCTAGGCACGCTTATATAGTTCCTTGGATTGACGTCGATAAGAACACAGGATCTAAGAAAGATAGCTTTTAAGAGTCTTGGCCCAAAGTGGGAATTGTTAACAATGATGACTACTTGGAGCATTGCAGTCTTTTTTTAGAATCAACAGAATCAGTTGGGTTTGATTGTATAAATTAAATTTCCAAACTGGTAAAAACTATTTAATTCAGAAATACAGTTTGCTGACTTGGTAAGTGACATAATACAATTGTCTCCGATTACAGAAGATTATTAACTGTTTGTACCACAACTTAAGATCTCAGAAGTAAATACAATTATTTTTAACAAAAATCCAAAAGAAGAGCTGGAGTTCGTTTATCATCCATCAAGGAACTGCGACTTAGAATTGTTGGTTTTTAATGGCCAGAGGATATGTTCTTTGTCCAGAGCATTCCTCCTTGGGTATAGTCACTTCACAATTCCTTCATTTCTTCATCCTGTTCTGATCTTGGGCATACATGGACATGTACGTGGTGTGTTTTTCAGAGAAGCGAGGCTGGGATTGGAATCTTGGTGGGCAATGTGACATCTCATTCCCTTAATCCTTAGACAGCCTGGCTAGCCCTGAGAATTCCGTTTATTTAGCAAACATTTGTTGGGCACTTCATATACAGTGAACAGTATCATTAGAGTGAATAATAAAACTTTATGTGAACAAAGTAATAGAGCTTAGTATGGCTGTGACAAAGGGAACATACAGTATATACTTTCTATTATAAATAGATTATAGCTGTTGTAAGAGAAAAGTGAGGTCACTGTCATCTGAGTTAATCAAGTAACCTTCATGGAGAAATTAGAATGTGAGAGGGACTGTGAAAGATTTCAATAAGCATATGTAAGAGTGGGAAGGAGGGTATAGGAAAGACATTTCAAATGGAGAGAATGGCGTTAGAGGTGCAAAAGGGAGGAAACACAGTGAATGACAGCTGTTTGACTTTTACGTGGGGTACTGCACAGAAATAGGCATGGAAAGTCAACTTGGAGCCAGACTATTAATGTTTTAGGCCAAGGGATATTAGAGGTTTAAAAATGGTTTTTATACAATAGTTCCTAGTAAGTTATAGTTGGCAGTGTTTGAAGGAGCGAGAGAGAGGAGCAGTTTTGCAGCTGAAATAAGTGAAGCAGTGCAAGATAGAGAAGAAACAGTACTGGAAGAGCAGCCATCATCAGTGGGTAATGGAGAGGTTTTGATGAGTTCAGAATTTCAATGAGGGTTGGTAAAAAAAGTTCTGGAGGTAGATGGTGGTGATGGTTGCACAACAGTGTGAATGTACCTAATCCCACTGAATTCTGCATTTAAAAATGGTAAAATGATAATTTTTTTGTATATTTACCAAAATAAGAATTTTTTAAACTTTTTTTTTTTTTAAAAAAGATTTGTTGCCATTGTGCATGTGTGCTTGCTGGAGACAGTGTCAGAGGGAAAGTGAGATTACCCCTTGCCTGACCTCCCATGGAGGATGGCTATGCTGCAATCTGTTCTCCTCTTGAGATTCTGGACACACATGTACACATGTCTGGCGTGATTTTAGGCTCCAGGACCTGGGACTTGAACCACCATGCCCCTAAAAAAACTATTTTTTAAAAGAATTATTTTATGGCACCAGCAGGTAGCGTGGTGGTTAAGGTGCTGGACACTCCCATATGGCTGACCACGGTTCAAGTCCTGGACCTGGTGGCTTGCTTTCTCGCTTTCCCTCTCTCTCCTTCTTTGTCTGTGTGTCTCTCTCTCTGGTCAAATTAAAATAAGTTAATGAATAAATAAAATTAAGTAATTCTTTAAAAAAAAAAAGAATTATTTTATTTATTTATTATTTAGTTAAACCAGAGAGAGACAGAGAGAGATGGAGGCTATGTGGTTGGCTATGTGGGAGTCCAGTGCCTTAATCACATGAGTACATGTGCATGTGTGCCCAAAATTCCAAAGGGAGACTGAAGGAGGAAGGATTGTGGCTGGCCCTAAAACACTATAAAAAGCAAATTTGAAACTAGATAACTTAAAAGGGGAAAGACATAACAGACATCAGTATGATCTTAAGTCCTCAGAGTTATGTTTGATAAGGAAGTATGTAATACATTTTAAAAAGATGTCTATTGTATTATCATTGACAGTGTAGAAAAAGATTTTTATTCAACTTCACAACTCACTATTGGGTATGCTATCTGTGACTTCCTCTGTAGTTTCTTGCTCAGGTAATTTTTTTTGCCCTCAAAATTCCATCCCCTTGCTATCATAGCATGCTACCTGACAGTTAATGGCGAGAGCAGGCCTAGCAAGCCATGTCTTTCATGCCCTAGGTTCACCTTCCCGCCACTGTCCCCAGCAAGCCAGTTCTTGGTAGTGAACGATAGCCATGAAGCTTGAGAGAGTTGAGCCATGTGTGTGGAACAGAACATCTAACATCTTTTTTATTCCCTTTCCTTTGGGATACTGTATGCTTGGTGGGATCCAACACAGAGGAGATTGTCAATGAGGGCCAAGAAGATGTAGTAGTGAAGGCATTTCTCCAGATGAAGTGGGATACTATAAAGATACTTAATTCACCGAAAGGTGTCAGGAAAAATAGAAATCCTAATGGGCTCAACCCCATCCATATTAGTACTTGCATTAAAAACAAATGGTGGAGGGACCAGCAGTTAGGGTAATGGCTATGTCGCTGAACTCCCATGTAGTTGATCATGGTTCGAGTCCCGGACCTGATGGCTTAAACTCACGCCAGGCAAGTGTGCGTGCGTACCCAAGATCCCGAGAGGAGAATGAGGAGAAGGGATTGCGGTGTGGCCATCCCCCCTGGGGAGTGATTTCTCATTTTCTATCTCTCTGTCTCTCTCTGTCTTTCTGCCGAACACATGCGCCCTATAGCAAAAACTTCTCAAAAAAAAAAGCAAATGGTGGGATAATAGGAATAAAAAGATAAGTTGTACTTGGAATCCTGGATTGGATTCTGGAACAGAAAAAGGACATTAATGAAAAAACCATTGACAATCAAATAATGTCTGGAGTTTAATAGTAATGTGCCAAACATTTTTTTTTTTTTAAGTTTTAATAAATGTACTATGGTTGTGTAATAGAATATTAGTGCAGCCTGGGTAAGGCATAATTGGTACCTCTTTGTAGTATTTTGGCATCTTTTCTATAAAAATAATATTATTCCAAAAATTATTAAAAATGTAAATAGACTATCAAATAAAAATCATGTAATGTCAGTCTGGATTGAGGAAACAAGTGTTGCTATTTATAAGAATACATTTTTAAAAGCAGGTTTAAAATAAAAAGAAAATTACTTGAGCAAACGCTAATCATGAGAAATATAGCATTGGTGTATTGGAAAAAGCAGACAGTATTATCAGGAAAAAAAGCATTTTTCTGAATAAGTAAATGATAGTTGCAGAAGGAAAATATAATCCTAAATGTCTGTGTATCTAAAAACAAAATTCCTAGTACATAAAGCAAAAAATGGCAGAACTGGGGGCCAGTGGGTGGCGTGGTGGGTAAGATGGTAGCGTCATGTGGCCAACTGCAGTTCGAGTCCCAGATCCAGTGACTTGAAAAATCACACTGAGTTGGGAACCAGCAGTTAGCGTAATGGCTATGTCGCTGGACTCCCACGTAGTCGACCGCGGTTCGTGTCCCGGACCCGGTGGCTTAAAACTCACACCGGGCGCGTGTGCGCGCGTGCCCAAGAGCCCGAGAGGAGAATGGAGGAGAAGGGATTGCGGCATGACTATCCCCCCTGGGGGGTGATTTCTCGCTTTCT